CCCATCACCTTTTTGTGAGTCAGCAGGAACTGCAGGTGACAGTGTCCCCGCTCAGGATAGGTCTCTGTCCGTGGCTCCAGCTGGTACCATTGGTCATTCCAGCAGTGCAAGTCCTGCAGGCACAGAGGGACAAGAGGGAAGCCCTGGGCCGCCTTCCCAGGAGAAGGATCGTGTTCAGAGAGACCAGGGATCCTCACCCCACTGCTCACGGGGCAGGAAGGTTTTGTATTGGATTAAAATACACATGGACAGCGACAGAGTGGCACAGTGAGGGACCTGGCACGGGTTGGTGTGTGCGGGGCGGGATCCGGGCTGTGCTGGGCGCTCCCCGGGGTTGGGATCCCGCCCGGCTCCCGGAGCTTTCCCCTCGGAGCGCGGGATGCAGCGCTCACCTTGAGCCGAACCACCACGTTCCCCAGGAAATCGTCCTGCCCTTTGTCTTTGCGGGCTTCTTTGAAGATCCTGGAAGGCACAGGAGGGTGGGAAAGTGTCCTGCAGCTGCCACCCGCCCGCGTTCGGGCTGGGAAGGGTGACACCGGACATGCCACCCTCCTGTCCCTCCTCCCTCCTTCCAAGGGTGATTTTTACAATCCAGCAGGTGAATCAGCGTTTCCCAGCCCTCTTTCCTCGGCAGCCTTGGGGYCACAGCAGCACCAACCTTTTGAGGCCGTGCAGGTCCGTCAGCTCCCCCAGCTTGTGCCGCATCGACTCCACCACGTCCGAGTCCCTGCGGGGACAGAGGTGAAACCCCCCGAGGGGAAAGGGGGAAATGCAGGGGGTGGAAAAACAGAGCAGGGAGTTGTGATGAGGTGGAGAAGGGAAAGGTCAGGAGCAGGGAAGAGTGAGCCCTGAGGCCACCCCCAAACCCAGCCAAAATCTTCGAGCTGCTGTCCATCAATTAAATCAGGGTTTAGGACCAGCCTTGCCCGGGCACACCCTGCCCTGAGCCCTGGGAGTGATGGAAAAAGGGTCCCCAGCTGGTTTGTGGAGCTTTTTAAAGGTTCAGATTGAAGGAACACCCCAGGGACCCTCCCAGGAGGCAGAGCCTGCTCGGGGCAGGGTGTCGGGGTCCCTGGGGTGCGGTCACTCACCACATGTCCAGGTGGAAGCTGGCGCTCTCCACATCTTCAAACTCCCTGCGAGGCACCAGGGGAGGCTGTTACCGAGGGACACTCGAGGGGTGACCTCCACCCAGAGCCCCAAGCACCCCCTACCCCCCCCAGAGAGCGGAGCCGAGGGTTTGGGGTGCATTACAGGATGAACTTCTCRTCCCACACCGGGCTCAGGGTCTGGTTGATCACTTTGGTGCGGTGGATTTGATCTTCRGGGATGAGATCTTTGACCACAGCCTTCATCCTCTTCTTGTGGTCAGCGTGGGCTGGCTCCTGGCTCCTGGTCTCGATACCCAGCAGGCAGTAGGGGTCACTGAGCCCTGTGGGGATGGAGCTGTGGGAATTCTGCTCGGGAGCAGCAGCTGTCTCTTTTCCCCTTTTCCCCTTTTCCCACGGGACACCCATCCGCCTCCACTCACCGCTGACGTCTTTGCCCAAAATCCCCTTGGCTTCCTTCACAGTGGCTTTCAGGCAGTAAATGGGCTTCTGGAAAAGTGAAAAAAACAGCGCTGAATGTGCAGGGTCACAGCCCTATGAGGGAGGATCAGCCCTGCAAGGAAGGATGGGGCTCGAGCAGGACCACGCCATGAACTGCCACCAGGCAGTGACAACCCCAAATCCCAAACACAGGGCCCAGAGGCTCTGCAGCACCCAGCACCACCCCTGGGGACACTGGGGACACTGGGGACACTGGGGACACTGGGGACACTGACCTCCAGCTCCATGACCTGCTGCATGATGGCTCGGTGCTCCTCTGGCCCCATGCCGAACGCCTGTGTGGATATCGGGGCTGGTGATGGATGCTGCCCCATTAACAGGGCTGGAGCAGCCAGGGGCTTCCCTCTGCTCCCCGGGAGCCAGCTGCAGCCCCAGGGGATGGAGAGCAGCAAAGAGCCCAGCAGGAAGGATGGGGACCGRCTGAAAGCTCTTGAGGGAAAGCTTTCTTCCCACCACCCCCAGCCTGAGATAAACATTTCTCCCCAGGGTTGATATTTCCCAGCCCAGGCTGCTCCCAGCCCTCCAGCTGGACACTGCTGCTGCATCTTTAATGTGCTTGTTAACAATTCCCCCTGAGTGACCCTGCAGGGGACCAGAAAAATTATTATGGGCTCAAAAGAAGCAGAKARAAAGCGTGTGTGGGGTCAGGGMAAGTTCTGTGCAGGYGGGACAGGGCCCTTCCACYCCACCCCTGGAGCCTCTGCTCTAGTCCAAGCCCCCGGCACGTGGAAATCCCAACCTTTTTCAACCTTAATGTWCTCAAGTTTGGAAGCAGAGGTTTATTATTCAGCCTCCTGAGGATTGTGTGAATCACCAGAGTGAATCAAACCCTTGCAAAAACTCACTGAGCAAGTTTGGGGCATAACAAACCCCACCATCCCCTGCAGCTGGGCGGAGGGACAGGTCAGGGACGGGTTTTGGAGACCACCTTTTGCACGTAGGAGTAGAGCTGCTGGGGATCCCCGACGTGCTGCTGCTCGGGCTTGCCCAGGCGGTGGCGGATGGTGTAGAGAACCTCCTCGTAGAGCAGGGCCAGCTGTGGGGGACAGAGCTGTCACCTCCGTGGGGACAGCCAGTGGGACGTGTTCCCTGCATCCCCCAGGCCAGTGAGATCCTCCTCACAGCTCCCCAAGCTCCACTCCAGACCCTGCCACCCRCCCTGGCTGTGCCTGGGGACCTGAGCTGTGTCCCCAAGGCCCTGCAGTGCTGCCACCCCCTCCAGGGCCATCCGGGGACACCGTGGAGGGTCACACTCACCTCTTCCTTGGAGAACCGGTGGGACAGATCCATCTGGGGACACAAGAGAGGCACAGAGGTTTCCCGTCAAGAGCGTGGTTTGAGGAGGAAATGGTGGCCGGACAGGGCAGGGCAGCCAGGATGGGGTGGCATCAGCCACAGCCCGTGAGGGTGGGATGTTCCAAAGGATGCTGTGACACCCCACAGACACCCCACAGCTGAGRGAACACTGTCCCCATCTCGGGGGGCTTCACCCCAGCCCCATGAATTGAGGAGGGGGCTTTGAGAGCAGTGCCAGCAGCTGGGGGTGACCCYCAGGAGGTTGGAAAGCCAACCATGAACCCGTCACCACCCAAAACCACCACTGCAGCAGCACYAGGATGGACAGCAAAGCAGCTGGGGGACAGGGCAGGGGGMCAGRGCACAGAGAGCAGCTCCAGGCTGGGCAAGGAGATGCCAAAAGCCATCAGGATTTGATGATCCAAAGCTCTGAAAGCTGCAGGGGTGCACTGCTCATTCCCCACGTGAAGGATGAACAGCAGCAGCACTGACTCCCCAAACAGGAACTAAACCCAGAGGGTGGCACCACAGAGGAAGGGSAGCTGTGCCCCTGTGCCATCTGCTCCTGGCGCTGGAGCCTCTGGGAGGACGAGGAGGGGACACCAAAAAATGGGACAGAAAGTTTTGAAATGACTTTGGGCTTCTCTGTGCTGAGGAGAGTTCACAGCCACTCGTGCAGGGCTGGTGGGGATGGATGGATGGACAGATGGACAGATGGACAGACAGTCCCACCCGTGGGTCAGCCCAGGCCCCAAAGTGACCTTAGGATACCCCTAATAGGAAAAAAATAAACCAGCCCCGAGCTGGAACATGAACATTTGCTCATGGCAGATCTAGGGCTGGCATAATCCCCCGGCCATCTGGACTCAATTCAACCCTTCAGCCCCGGTGAGTTTAACCCTTGAGCTGCCGCTCTCTCACCTGCCCCCACGCCCCTTCCTGTACCCTGTGGAGGGTCCGGGGGGCTGTGGAGGCTCAGCAGCCCCTCAGGAGGGTCCCAGCCCGTTCCTTTCACTGCTGGCACTGTCCTGTGCCAAGGCAGGGGGGCACAGCCCCACCCCAAACCCTTCAGCATCCCCACGGGCAGCGCTGCCCCATGGCATTGCCCCAAACACTCTCCCAACCCCAAACACTCTCCCAGACCTACTCTCCACAGCCCAAACACATTCCCAGCCCCAAACACTCTCCCCAGCCCCAAGCACTCTGCTGCAAGCGCAGAGGGGACCGAAAAAGGGCTTTATTTCTGTGCTGCCGTCATTTATCAGCGAGACACAAGCGTCTGCTCCTTTCCCAGCAGCGGGGCAGCTCAGCAGGGCAGCGGGAGCGATCCCTGCGGGTTTTGGGGACAGCTCCCTGCTGTTCCCTCCCGGCCCCAAAGCCGGTGGCTGAGGGATCAGCTCCGAGCCCCGGAGCACACGGGACCGGCCGAGCTGGAGCTGAGCTGAGCTGAGCTGAGCCAGCGGGACGCGTTTGCTGCTGATCCCCACTCCGAAAACCCCCTCGGATCCAGGAATGTCCAGCTGGAACCCAGCTCTGGACACAGCCACCGGCATCACCCAGCGCGGCGGAGGGGGAGGCTGCGGGGACAGGGGCACTGGGAGGGGACAAACTCCCGGGCAGGGGGACATTGCCAGGACAGGGGACAAATCCCCGGGCAGGGGGACACTGCCAGGACAGGGGACAGGTCCCAGAGCAGGGGGACACTGCCAGGACAGGGGACAAACCCCCGGGCAGGGGGACATTGCCAGGACAGGGGACAGGTCCCAGAGCAGGGGGACACTGTCAGGACAGAGGACAAGTCCCCGGGCAGGGGGACACTGCCAGGACAGGGGACAAACCCCCGGGCAGGGGGACATTGCCAGGACAGGGGACAAATCCCGAGAAGGGGGACACTGCCAGGACAGGGGACAGATCCCAGAGCAGGGGGATACTGCCAGGACAGGGGATAAACCCCCGGCCAGGAGGACACTGCCAGGACAGATGATCCCGTGGGTCCAGCACGGGGATTGTGCCCTGTGCTCCCAGCAAGGGCAGAGCTGTCGGTGCCATCGCAGGGGACAGACACACGGACACGCAGAGCTGGGCTGGGCTGGGCTGGGCTGGGCTGGGCTGGGCTGGCCTAGAGCCGGGCTTTGGAGGAGCTGCCGGCAGCAGGGAGCCCAGAGGGGCCGGGAGGGGCTGGGGAGGCACAGCCAAGCTGAGAGGGGACCCTCAGTGGGGGCACAGAGCTGCAGCTGACCCCGTCCTCACCCGGGGGTGCATTTTTACACGGGTGTGGAACCCCCATGCCTTGGTCAGCCTTGCAAAGCATCACACCCCAGACACGGCCTCGGTCCCTTTTCTCATTCCCCTTTCACAGCCTCGGCACCCAGAACTGCCCCCAGGGCCCTCTGGGCACAGCCCCCCTGACCCTCACACCCCAAACATTCTCCCAGCCCCAAACACTCTCCCCAGCCCCACATACACTCCCAGCACTAAACATTCTCCCAGCCCCAAACACTCTCCCAGCCCCAAAGACTCTCCCCAGCCCCACTGTCCCAGCTCCAAACACCGTCCCCAGCCCCAAACATTTTCCCCAGCCCCAAACACTCTCCCAACCCCAAGCACTCTCCCAGCCCCAAACACTCTCCCCAGCCCCAAACACCCTCCGCAGCCCCATTCTCCCAACCCCAAACACTCTCCCAGCCCCAAACATTCTCCCCGGCCCCACTCTCCCAGCCCCACACACCCTCCCCAGCCCCCATTCTCCAGCCCACCTACCTCGGGGCTCTCCTCCCCAGGGAGGGTCCCCGGGGGTGTCCCACCCGCAGGATCCATCTCAGGGGGATGCTGAGCGTGGGGCAGGGCTGCAGCTCTGCCTCAAACTGCTGCTTCCCCCCTGCTCAGAGGAGGAAACCACAGACCTTATCACAGCGTGGCCATTTTAGCGGAGCGGAAACGCGCTCAGGGCTCCTTCCAGGCACCCCAACCCTGCTCCCCAGCACCCCCTGGGGTGGGTGGGGATGGGGACAAAAAGAAAGTGTCACATCCAGTCCCCGCTATCAGTTATGAGAGAAAAATCGGGAGCAAGTGGAGAGGAATTGTCTTGAGAAGGCAAAACTGAGCAGGGAAGGGGGTGATGGAGAGGAGTGGTGGGGGTGACCCGGAGGATCTGGGCTCTGATTTGCCTTTGGGATCCCTGAGAGCACAGACAGGGACCCTGCAGAGGGCACGGGGTGCCTTCAGCCCCGGGGGATGTGTTTGAAACCCCACGMAAAAACTGCAGGGTGAGAAATCCTTGCGACACCCAGGAGCCTTGCACAAGGYTGGGCTGAGAACAGACGCAGTAAAGAGCCGAAAACACCACTAAAAAGAGCCCGTGACCTTTTTCCCCAGTGGGACCTCCAGAAAGAGCTGCTCACTGAGAAAAAAAAGCAGCAAGAAACGAAGTTAGAAACTTAAAAACGTCAGCTTTCGTTCTCGTAAACGCTTTATCTGATTGCAGYGCGCCAGGCAGCGGTGCCCKCCCCGCGCTGATCCCTATCGGGGCKCTCTCCCCGATCACAAAATCACAAATTGGGTGGAGAAAGGCTTGGCTGGGCATCGGGAGGTGCCCAGGGAAGATCCTGGGTGCCTGCAGGGTCTGCAGGCGCGGCTGAGAGCAGCCTGGGCTTTGGAGGAGCTGTTGAGCTGCTTTTGCTGCGCCTCTGCCACAGCCTGGGCAAAGACAGAGAGCTCCGTGTCACTGCTGGGGTTTGGTGGCACTGCTGAGGAGCCACGGGCAAGGGGAGGTTTTGTCTTTCCAGTCGCCTCCTGGCGCCCAGATAGCCCAAAATCCACCAAAAAGATGCTTCAGATGCAGCACAGGAGGCAGAGGCTCCACRGGGGAACTGCACAGGCATTCGGGGATTTGTGCTGGATCCAAACACAGGAGGGGTTGAAAGGAGTGAGAGGGAGGTGTCTTTACAAACAAACTGTGGGGATGCTGGGACATGAGGGCAGATCCTGACAGGTGAGAGGAGCAATGGGAGGAACTGTAAATTCCACAGGAATTCCATCCATTGGCACAGACTGGTGCTGACCCAAGGCAGTGCTAAACCCCTGCACTGAGAGAAAAAGAACAGAGACACAAAGAATAAAAAAAAGGGTGGGGGGCTATGACCATTAGATGGGGTCTGTATTAGGGGATTTGGGGCAGTCTGTACCTCTCAAGTACCTCAGCCAGAGGGGAAAGAGAGAGAGAAATGCAGCTGAGAAATTGGGATAAAAAGGAGGCTGTGCCCTCCAACAATTTGAGAGACCCCATGGAAGAGCCCCATGACCTCTCCATTTATTGAATAAAGTTACAGCACTCTCTGTCTCCTTTTTGGACACAAACCTCTGGTGCTTGTGGATTAACATTCCCRACAACAGGAAGCCACAACCATGGAAACTGCTCTGGAGGGTTTGTGTCTGTCAGAGCAGTGAAGGACTCAGAGTCCATCACACAGAGCCCCACAGCTCGCTGGCTGCAGGCAGGGCTGCAGGAGGATGCTGGCAGTCCCTGTGAGAGGATCAGGGCAGGCAGCCAGTGCCTTCCAGCCCTGCTCTCATCTAATCCTTTAATTAAGGCAGGTTGTGCTGTTTTAGCTGTTTTAGGAGAGGCACAGTCTCGCTTTGCTCTGGAACCCTGTCAGAGCAGGTTATGAGGGCAAAAGGGGTTCCTGAAGCTGTGGGGYTGGGAGATGGAAAAAGGGCTGTGAGCATGGGCAGGTTGATGTGAGGGGCAGATTTTCTTTATCCACTTCAGCCAGCACAGGAATGCGGCCAAGGGGGATGCACAGCACAAACACAGTGAAGTGCCAGGGGCAGGGGATGCCAAAATAATCTGCAGAGATACAGCAGGACACCAAAAAGCTGAAATCCAGCTCTGAGGCTGTTCAGTGTTGTCCATTGAGGCCTGAAAAAGCTGCYWGAAATGRTGCCTTAGGATTTTTASCTTCTCTATTTTCATGTGTCTGTATTCTTGTACTTCTCTAGTACAGCACTAAAGCTGTTCTCCCATCTTTAGACAAAACAATTCCTCTCTGGGCCTGAAATCCAAGGACACTTYRCTRCCTCAGAGCTCYAAAATATGGAAACAACAGWGAAYTGGGGGGAGCAAGYTTRGGMTGGTTGRCATC